AAAAATAGTTAGGCTTATGAAACGACTGATAGATATGGAAACTGAAGAAAAATTGGGGAATTATTTTGCTGTTGATAGCGAAAGTGTATAGGAAACAATCTCAGTGGGCAGAGGCGAGTGAGTACAGAGTTCTTAGATGCTGCGAAATTATAAGGAAGTTCTTAAAATTAATGTGAATAAGAAAATTACTCTTGATCTCTCTGCCCCCCACTCTGGACATACTTTGGTTTTAGTATGTTTTTATTTTTCATGCTTAATGTGGTGTTTGCTGTTACCATCATACAAGAAGATGATGGTAGTTCTTTATGTGAATGTCATCATCAAGCTAATTAAGAACAGTAATGTCTATACTGGAAGCTATAGTTCTTCTGAGAGCATTTTGATTTTAATTATTAATAAATGTTCTCATAGTACATATGTGGGTGCAGGGTAGCATGTGTGAGCATATCCTAATTTTGTTTTATAATTTATATGTAATGTACATCACTTGTCTAGTTTTATTCTAATTCTAGGCCCTATACTGTCTTGCATCTGCAATCCCATGACTTTTCCTTACAGTTGTGGTGCTGGCTTAAGCAGCTCAGTCTCGTCCCCTGTCTTCGCTTCTTCACTTCCCGGCATTATACCCTTCATTGCAAAGCTACAGGCTGAAGTGGGTCAGAGAACTGATGCAGGTGTTCGGTATCTCCCCCTTCTTGGCTTTTCACTACCACTGAGAGGAAAAACATAGCTCAGTTCTCTGGATGCAATTTTGCTGGTCTGATGCATAGTTTTAGTTTTCTATGATCCAAAATAGGTTACTTGTAAATAGCTTTAATTAAAATATGAATGTAGTATAAACATGAATATTTTTTATATATGGTAGAGACTTGCAGTAAAAGTATGCTATCAGATTTTTACGCCTGTAGTGGATAAAAGGATGCAGAAGGCAGAGACTGCAGAGGTGACTGATGAGAAGGGATGAGCTGGTTGGATGAGGATTCTTTTGGAAAAAGACTATTAAGGGAGAAACTGAATTGCTCTGGCCATTTTAAAATTAGTATTTCAGCCCTTGTAGTAACAATTATTGGTCCATGTCTAAAAAAAATTACAGTACTTTCAGTTTTTCTGATAACTTTATAAAACACTTGATTTTGTTAAAGATTCTGATTCTATCTTGATTCTCATTGTTCGGATGTACTAGTACTTGCTTTCACTAAGTCATTTTCCTTTGAATCTGTGAATACTTGGTGTATTTCAAAAGCTTTGTACAGTTTTAAATGGCTGAGGAGAAAACTGACAAGCCTGAAAGGTAACTGCTAGCAAAGACCTGAAAATGAGGAGAGTTCTCACGGTCATCTAGCCAGAAGTTCATCTTCCTTTAAATTTTTATTTTAATAAATGTATACTCTCCTGTGCATTGGATATAAATTACACATGCCACTTAGTAGTTTCATTTTGATTTTATTTTATAGATTATTAAAGTATTGCAGGTATTTACACAGTTTTATTAGAGCAGTTGCTCAATTTTCAGTTCTTTCAACTGAAAGTAGATATAATGGTAATATCGCAGGTTATTAAATTTTGGGGCCTGAATGCTTGGTTGTGCGTTAGCACAAGAGTAAAATGTTGCAGAATTCATTGAAAGTTCTGTGTCTCCGTCTGCTGTGAAGAAAATTATTTGCTGTTTTTCAGCAACTAACTGTGAACATCTGTAAGGAACTGTGTGTTTCATTTCAAGTCATCGCATTAAGGAGTTGCTGTGAAGCTCATTAAGTCTGTATCCCAAGTACCAGTGTGCTCCCAGCTCCGAATAGTGGCACGAGGGTGGCTGGGGAAGTCCGTTCTTAGTGATCTTTCAGAAAGGTTTGTACAGCTGTGAAAGAGGCATTAGAGGATTAAGGAAAACACAAAAAAAAAACCCAAAAGAAAACTCAAACAAAAAAACCCCAAATGAACTAATGGCATGGTCTCTGTAGAAAGGTTAGGAACACGGAATAACGATTTTACCAATTTCTGCTGCCCTTTTCGTGTGCTATGCATATTAGGCCCCCATAAAATTTACTCTTGTATACTTTCTCTGTTTCCAAGTAGGAAAACCCTAGGCATTAGGTGTTACCCTGTTCCCAAGGCACCCCAAATTCCCAAGAACAATGAGAAATATTATTGCGTGAAACTTCTTGCAATTTTATTTTGTAGTGTGAATGGAAACTTGCTTAATAAAGAAAAGCAGATATGACCAGAACAATTGTTTTGTGGGCTTTTATTTCGTGGGGCTTTGTTTTTTGTTTGTTTGTTTGTGGGTGTTTTGGTTGGGGTTTTTTTTGTTTGTTTGTCTGCTGCTATAGTTCGCATGGCTCATTGACGTAGTGAGGTTGGCATGAATTTAATGTAGTATTCCAGAATGGTTTTTCTTGAGAAGAACTTAATTATATTTTTCATTTTCCTCCCACACCTTAAAGGAAGGAAAAAAGAAAACAAAGTTTTATTAGATATTTTAATGCTTTCGTCATTTTAAAATTTTTGTTTAATACTGACCCTACCTTAAAATGAGTGTAATCTTGAGTCATATGAGTCTGGTTGTAACTTGCGCTGAATTGTACCTTAGTGGATTCCCGTTTGATTTCAATCTGTGTTTTTCTTTGACTATGATATCCTTGTTGGTCAAAGGAAGTGTGTGCAAGCCATGTAGAACAATGCAACCAAAACCTCATTGTATTCATGTAACATCATAGATTTACATGTTGTCAAGTTCTGTGGTGGATTATAGATAGCATAAGAAAGAGTGGAAGTTGTAATTAAAAATAATACTCTTGAAAAGTAACCAATTGCACTTCTTTTTTTTTTTTTTCCAGCCTGAATTTACAGTCTATCTTTTGGAAGAAATTGTTACCCAATTAATTATTGGCTGCTTGCTAATAACAGTGAATTATGAAGTCCATTTTAATTTTTTGTATTAGTTGAAGGCAGGTAGTCAAGAAAGCAGTCACAAGTATTTTGTTTCCTCAGGCCGTTTGTCTCCTGTAAGGCTGTAACCTTAGAAAGGGTGCTAATAGAAGTGGTCTTTTTTGTAATGGGTGAAGGCTAATGAGTTTCTGTGACTCCTTGGCTTATTTTAGGTTTCACCACGGCCTGCTGTGAGGCGTTTGAATGTGTGCTAGTGACCTGGCCAGCCGAATGGCTTTAGAGTGACTTGGTTTTGGGACTGTCAGTTTTGCAGTGGTGTTTGCAGGGGGGGATTCTTCTCCCATGTAGCTCTTCCTGTTGGGGTTCTGCAGGACCACATTTCTTGCATCTTCTGTGCCACAGATGAATATAGCCTTTGGGAATGTGGGGTGGACAATTCCAATGATAGGAAGTGCGGCGTCATAACTGTACCACTTCTCCCCTCCCACCCTTAATTTCCCTCGGACAAAGACGTTATAGAGCTTATCCAAGCCAAGTTAATATGAGATTGGTGTGTGCTGCCTGATATCAACAATTAAACTTTACAGAGATCTTGGTTGTTCTTTGCAGCATGCAGTTTGCTAACCTGTTGAATCCTGTCACTACCACAGTGCTGTAAGCAGAAAAAGGTTGAATAAACTGCTGGACTTAACCATGTTAGGTCAGAAAGCATATAGCATCTTTATTTGTACTGCAATCCATATTTATTATTTTCAGTGCAGAAGCAATGTAGAGAGTTGGTGTGAAGTGCCTTGGGGTCCTTGCATCTCTATCAGTACTTTTTAAAACTATGCAGCTATATACTATGACCTCGTAATATTTCATAGGTCTTTTGAACTTGAAAATAGTAACTGTGGTGTATGTGGTTTTAATCAAAACAGATTCATGGTACTTCGTCCTTAAAACTACTATGCAATTGCTAACAGCTTCCAGTGTTTACCAAGTATTCCTTAACTTGGCATACTCTTGTGTCAACAATAAGAAGTTTCATCTTAGGTTGGCTTTTTATTTGTACGTCCAAGGTTTAAGTCATAAACATCAATTCTTTAGTATTAAAATTTTTCTAGTTGAAATCAGCAAAATTTTTCATTTACGTGTTGTATTGTGCTTGGAAGATCATTTGCTGAATGCTGGGGCTGACAAATGTGCTAAAAAAAAAAAGTAGATCAAAGGAAGTGAAGTGCTTTCTAGTCTGAGGGCATACTTTCAGACTTAAAATGCATATCTAATTTCCGCAACTTTCTGCTATAGTTAGCCTCTTGTGTACATGGACATTGGACAAACTAAGCTTTCTGTGTACTATTTTGATGCACTTGGTAAACTAACAAACCACTAAGAAGTTGACATTCCTTTTATTATTTTATTGTCTTTTTTTGCTGCAAATTATGAAAACAGAGCAAAAGTAGGAAGTAATACATTCTGCTTACTTTATTGGTCAAGCACATGCTATTATTTTGTGTGAAAATGCTCCTATTGATGCATGTTGTGTGTTTATACTACAGCAAAAAAATCCTCACTGTGTTTCAGTAAAATTGATTTTGCTATGGGAAGTGTCAACATGGGGGTAATGATGGAATCTGAAACTTATCTGCAGAATTATAGTCTTGCTGTGTATTCGTATACACATTCATGTATATTCATACAGAGTTATAAATGACGCAGTGTTTTTAAAAATATAAATTAATCAAGCTTGATCTGTTTGACAGTTACTTCTTCCTTCTTTGGAGTATAAGTTAACGATGGTGAGTGTCGGCCTCCAGTGAAAGCAGTGGTATATCATAGAATTAAGTCTTGAATGCTGTTGTGTTTGCATTCTTCACTTAAGTCTGTATTTTTTGGTGAACTTTATTTTCTTAATAGCAGGTGATGATTAAATTACTTCTACAATATGTTGTTCAAGATCTCAAACATACAACAGTAATACAGTTCCTATAAGGGGTTCATTTGTTAATCTGAGCTCTGTTTTACAAAAATTGTATGAATGCTGCTTTCCTTTGAAATTGATCTTCAAAAAGAAATCCTGTTTTGTATAATAAGATGCCAGACTCACAAAGATTTCCTTTCTTGTTTCATAGACGTTCCATCTTCAGAGCAGCCTGAACTGTTCCTAAAGAAACTTCAACAGTGCTGTGTCATTTTTGACTTCATGGACACACTTTCAGACCTTAAAATGAAAGAATACAAGCGCTCCACTCTTAATGAACTGGTGGACTACATTACAATAAGCAGAGGCTGTTTGACAGAGCAGACTTACCCTGAAGTAGTTAGAATGGTGAGTTCCTTCTTTCTCATGGTCTCTTTAAATCCACTTGCAATTCCAGTTACGCATTGTGGGCGAAATTGAACCCTGGAGTAGGTGGATTAAATGAGGCCTTTGGTTTGTATTTTCTACTAGACATCACTTGGGGATAAATCTCCAAAGACAAAAATATTAATTTTTATATGTGCTTAATTAAAGTCAAGTAGATGATGGTGGTGGTTATAGTGTCACAAATATATGCAAGGAAACCGGGATTGTTTCCTGATGGAGAAAGCCAGGAGCCATAAAATCAGAGTCCCTCGCATTTCCCCCTACCCCTTCTCCCCCCGCAAGTATAAATAATGGAATAATTTTTGCAAGTTTCTTATCTATCTTTGTACTTTATCCAGGCTCTTGAGTGTGTACTTTAGGCGGAGATAGCTTAAGGTATGCACGGATAATGATTTTTAAATAATAAATGCTAAAAATGTTGTATAGGATCAGTGTGAAAATTTCCTGGTTGTATTATGTGGATTCATAGCAGCTGCGGTTAAGAGTGAGCAAGATTACTCAACAATAAAGCCATACCTTCTATATATAAATTGTCAAATACGGTGTTTTCAGCGTAAAAAATGGAAACAGTACCAGATCCTATATGGTGAAGAATGTTCATTGTGATTGGCAAAATCAATCAATGCTTTAAAATGTTTATCCTGTACTAGCATATGGAACCCTCATAACCTATTACCTACAAGAGAAGGCAATTAGTTAAATATAGATTTGGTGATGTTGGTTTCCTAATGGTACTGTGTGATCATGGAATCCACTGGCTATGTGCTGTAAGAAGAAAAACGTGGATAGATTTTACGTTGCATTATATATGCTCCTTATTTCTTCTCTGACACACAGATACATGCTGTGTTGCTTGTCTGTAATATTTAAAAATAGCTGTAAATTGTGACAGAATCATCAAGCAGTTAATAGCGAAGAAAAAAAACAGAATTAAGGGTGTATGGAAAAAATCTTAATATGGCTTCTTTGTGTGCACGCATTGTCAGAAGGCCTATAATTAAGTGATCAGATTCTTCCCCTTTTCCCCCACCCTCCCTTTCTCCCCTGTGTACTGGACACATCTCTGAATGAACTGTTTTTCAGTCTGCTGTGTTGTTTGTTCAGGATGTGGTCTAATGCACCATTCAAATACCAGTCTGAATACAGAATTACTCGTTCTTTGCTGAATTCTTTTGCGGTGCTGCACTGTAGTGTCTAAATGGTTTGCAAATGTTAGTTTAATCTTCCTTGTACCCCTTGAGATCAAAAAATTATGTCATACTCTTTGTATAGTCAGGACACTGATGCACAGGTAACTTCAGTAAAATTGGTTGCTTTTCCTATGTGTAGAAGATGCCTCCAAACTCACCTCCTGGGAGAATTTGGTTGTTGTTTTTTGGGGTTTTTTTTGTATGTTTCTGTTATTGAGGTTGTGGTCTCACAATGACTTTGGTTATAGTTTTTTGCTTTAGCAGCATTTGTAGAATAAAGATTCTGCAAGTTAGTGTTGCCTTAGGTTGGGCCCCAAGAAAGAAGAATTTCATCTGTAACTGCTCATGAAGTTCCATTTGAATCGTAGATCATAACCTGTGAAGCAATCTGAACTTAAACTGTGGAAGAGACACAAAACCCCTTTGCTAGCATGTCCTACTGTCCCTGCAATCACTTATGTTGATTCACAAAATTGTTTTTATCTTAAGGAACTGATGCATTGCCTAAATAGTTTGAAAAGTGTGGTTTTAAATACTTAAATATACTCTGTAACTATGATATGGGGGAGTCACTGGAAGTAAAGATACGGTGTGAATTTTTCCAGTGTATTTCACAGATATTTGGTACTGGAGCTTCAGGAATTCCAGTTTCAGCTTATCTCATTTTTGATGGAAAACTGTTTTATCTTCTTTTCTCCAGTATTCCCCTGAATCTTTCATTGCATCATGCCCTTCTTCATCTTACTTTGTTCTGCCTTGCATTTGGGCTCTGGTACTGAACTCAAGCTACGTTTTCTCTTCAGTGCCAAGGTACCTAAGCAGGGAAGGACTAGGAATATTCTCAAGTCCTCTCCTGGCTACTCAGTGGCTTCTGACTGCCCAAGCCTAGATTTTTATCAATGAAAAGATGCATAAGTAATTAGGGAAGTGGACATATTTTTTCCTGAAGAATTTCCTGAGAAAGTTCTGGTTTTCAAATTTTGTAAGAAACTAGGCTGCAACAGACACCTGTGCTGCAATGAAGGTGTAAGCTATTGGAAAGAACCTTTCAAAATGAGAAAGCTGGCGTACCCTAATTGTGCCTATTGCAACCAGCAGTGTTCTTGGCGTATGTGCTCTTGGGAAAACACTTTGGTGGTAGAATTCCACGTGAGCAGGATGCTGTGCTCTGCTATTGAATTTATGTGAGGGAATCCATGGAAAATGCATGAATGATTTTTGTTGATCATCCCAACGAATGCTAATGCAGTGTTTCTACAAAACCACATCATCAGGGCTTTTGTGCGTTGCACATATTTTGTATTTTATAGGCTAAGTGATAAAGGTGCTATTTTTCCTCCTGGTCTTTGCCTATAAAAGCAAGACATCTCCATCACTTTGAGTGCAGTTATATGGGCCCTAGAGGGAAAGGTAGGACTCCTAATATTATATAAAATAAGTTTTCAGCACATACTGGTTGGTGAATAGGTGGCATTAGTCACTTCGTGCTGAAGCATCATGTTTGGTGTAACTTTTTCTTGCAATTAGTGCATGTTCATGTTTCGTGCAGAATTGTGCTCATAATCGCGTACTGAGACAGACTTAACTGTACACAAGTTGGTTTCATGAGTGCAGCTGCCACCTTTATCTACTTTTGAGGGTTTTCATGTAGGTGTCCAACTGTGTTCACAAAGGAACTGTCAAGTTGACAATCTGTGACCTGTCGTGATAGTGAAGAAAACAGCAGTATCTATGTCCTGACCAAATTAGTGTCCTCGTTGACTGCCTGCCACAATTGTCATGGGAGCATTTTGATTGAAAGACCAGTATCTTAAAACTGATCAAAATGGTGCAGAAGTGTTCTGTGTCCCTTTGGAAGGTCTCCTCCCTGTTACGTTTAGTGTTTATGGATCCAGGATTTAATATGTCTTGCTTGGCCCTCTGGGCTACTGTGATTTGGAGGTGGAGGAAAGTATTATAAACAGGGAAAAAAGAAAGAAGCCGTTTTGTGAGTTTTGGCATCATTTAAGAGCAGAAAAAAAAGGCACACCAGTATGAAGCTGCTATTTAAAAAGTTACTAGTATTTATAAAGAAGGATTAATGGCTAAAATGCTTTTTTAATTATCGAATATCCAAAATGATATCTGTGGAAAGGCTTTTTTTTTGTTTTAAAGTTTTATAATGTACATGTATATTAGCGTTCTCTGTTCATGACCCAAAAGGAGTTTGGCTTTATAGATACTAGGATAGAAAAAGGTTGCCTGTAAAATTCTTCAGAAACTCTGGTATTTTTAATTACTTCTAAAATGTGGTGGTGTTATGGTACAAGGGTTTGAAAAACAATCATTTGTGGTAGCCAGCGCAACAGCTCCTGGATATTTTTACTGCCAGTTGTCCTAGATTTGTGCCATTAAAACCTTAATCCCTAATCGTAATATCTCATCTTTTCATCTTGTTCTGTTGAGCATATGATATGATGTTGTATATAGCTAAATGTGAAACCACTTGGCTATTTGTCAACCTGTGTGCAGGTCCACTTCTTTAAACCATGCTCTTTAGCTTGATATATACGGAAGTGTTTGGCATATTGTTGTTTTTTAAAAAAAAATAAAATAAAATTGAATTTACTGATGGCCACCAAAGCAAGCTTGCAGTGATCTCCTCACTGTCATCAGTATCAGTTGATGGGAAGAGCGGTTGGGAATTGTGTTAATGGCCATGAGTGGG